GAAGGATTGTGGCATCAAGTTGATCAGGAAAGCAAGAGTCACTGATTTGAGTGTCATCAGCAAAGGATTGACTGGAAACTGAGTGGTGGCTAATGAGAGATGATAGAGGTTTAGTGTAGAGGATGAAAAGGACCGGCCCAAGGACATATCTACTCTCTGTTGATATAAAATACCTTAGGTTAACATTTGGAGCGGTCTCTTGAACTGATGCAATCAATAATATACTCTTATTGAGAACTGAAAGTAACTTTTATTTGTGCAACGGAATGTTCGCTTCAATTGATTTTTTTTTTTAAACTTACGTTGACAAGAAGAAATTTAAATCTTAATGAATTTCTTTCTTATTCTCCAATGTAAATGTTACCTATTGCGTTTGCTTAATCGCATTTAAAACTAAATATCTATCCCTGATATGAATTTTTTTTAAACTTGATGTCGTCTGCAGCAGCAACGACCACAACAGACGTTGGTACTACACCAGGGGCAGGCGACACGGATGCATCATCGACCACCACACCATCACACGGTGCAAGTGATCCACCAGCTATTGTCACCCATGATGACATAGGTCTCTCCACCTCACTTGGTGAAGCCACACCGGATACCACGACATCAGCCGAATCAATAGATGTCTCAGCGTCTGCACCAACAACCGAATCGTTCACAAGCCCCACGCCAACAGACACCACGAGCCCTGACGCATCAACCACGGATGCGCCTGGAGTCGTCTCAACCAGTGATGCACAACAAGAAACCACCATCATCGTATCGCACTCATCGGACATCACCGGCGGTGTGCCTACCGATTCAACCCCAGGCCCAAGCGTTATGTCCAGCGAGGCAGACACCAACAACGATGCACCACCAATGGACTTTCAACAATCGACTACGTTCGCACCATCAGAAACCACGACCGAATCCACGGATAAAACAACTGATAAAATATCACAGCGCGTGGAATCAACTGATGGCGACATGACAACGATGTCGCCCCCTCTAGACACCGGTGATGAAACTTCCTCCGTCTCACCCATATCAATCTCTTCAGAAGTGGACACATCTTTAAACGACAACTCAACGAGTCATCCCGGCGACGGATCTGGGGATTATATTGATGGGGTTGAACTGACAATAATAAAGTATTTAGCAACCGATGCCGCTGATAATGATGTCACCCAGTCAGTGTCTGTAAAGTCTAGCGGCGCCACTCAAGGTGCTGAATCCACAGAAGAAACATCTGGTGAAATTTCAGAGACTACCGTAGCGGAAGCCGACAGAACTGAATCTTCACATGCTGAACATCAACATGAGGACTCCTTTACGACTCTTACGTCTGACCAATCAACTTCCGGCAGTACATCATCTGAAACTGGAACAGCTGCTGGAGCAATTACCAACACAAACACGATGGCATCGGCCACATCAACAACACCGCTGTTATTGACAACAACAGACAGACCATCAGCTCCGGACATTAATGATTTCATCCTGATTGAGGTCATTCGATTCGTTTTCAAAGGCAGCCAGTCAGTGAGTATTGAGAACCGTCTGCGCATGCGCCTAATTCACAATGAAGACAATATTAATTCTACCTAGCTTTAAATCCGTAGCACAAAGGGGATAGTGTAGCAGCAAGTAATGTGAATATAATCAAATAATGGCGGTGTGAATAGTATGAAACAACATAATACGCGCATGCTTCTTATACCCATGGGAACCACTTCCATCTTGTCTCTATGCCAACCACTTTAATCATTTCTGTCTCTATGCCAACCACTTTAATCGTGTCTGTCTCTATGCCAGCCACTTCCATCTTGTCTCTGTGCCAACAACTTCCGTCTTGTCTCTATGGCAACAATTTCGTCACGTCTCCACGCCAACCACACACGTCTCATATCCATATCAACCACATCCATATGTTTCTCCGTGAACCAACTCCACAGAGCATTCATTTCTCGTCGATTGTCTACAATGTCTTGGAAAGCTTCCTGTCTCGTGCTGTCCGAGAATACAAATCCGACTCCGTCAAAAGCTGGAACTACACGCTGACCCACGTGTTCCCCCCTGTCCTGTTCGACAGCTTGACCACGTATGTCGATGTCAGGATTCAACACACGGCCAAGGAAGGTGAGTCAACGCTACTGTCCACAATCTTAGTCTCTCCACACCTCTCACATCCATTTCTGAGACACCCTCCACCCTTGACCCCACCCTCCACCTGGGTCTCTTATCTTATTTTATAATGTAGAAACAATCTTTTGTGACAACGATGTTGAAAGACTTGTCATACTCAGTAGCGTAACTAGGGATGGGGGGGGGGCGGGGTTGCAATCCGTATAGGGGTGACACGAGATGGAATAAAGTACATTTGACAGAGCTCAGTTTCATAGCAGGTCTAAGAAGTAAATGAGCAAGGTGCCATTAGTGAAAGGTGTCACCAGTGAAAGGTGTCGTCAGTGCAAGGTACTATCAGTGCAAGGTGCAATCAGTGCAATGTGCCATCAATGAAAGGTGCCATCAATGAAAGGTGCCATCAATGCAAGTTGCCACAATGCAAGGAATGTGCCATCAGTGCAAGGTGCCATCAATGCAAGGAAGGTGCCATCAGTGCAAGGTGCCATCAGTGCAAGGTGCCGCCAGTGCAAGGAGCCATCAGTGCAAGGAGCCATCGGTGCAAGGTGCCACCAGTGCAAGGAGCCATCAGTGCAATGTGCCATCAGTGCAATGAGCCAATAGTGCAAGGTGCCATCAGTGCAAGGAGCCATGAGTGCAAGGTGCCACCAGTGCAAGGAGCCATCAGTGCAATGTTCCATCAGTGCAAGGTGCCATCAGTGCAAGGTGCCATCAGTGCAAGGTGTCATCAGTGCATGGAGCCATCATTTCAAGGTGTAATAAGAGAAAGATACCAAAAGACAAAGTTGACTAAGACGAGGTCCATAGGGGATAAAGTCGTAATGGGATGGCACCATGAGTTTACAGCACTGGTGACACTATAAGTTTACAGCACTGCTTGACACTATGAGTTCACACCACAACTTGACACCATGAGTTCACACCACTACTTGACACCATGAGTTTACAACACTGGGTGACACCATTAGTTTACAGCACTGGTGACACCATTAGTTTACAGTACTGGTGACACCATTAGTTCACACCACAACTTGACACCATGAGTTCACACCTTTACTTGACACCATGAGTTCACACCACTACTTGACACCATGAGTTCACACCACTACTTGACACCATGAGTTCACACAACAACTTGACACCATGAGTTCACACCACTACTTGACACCATGAGTTCACACCACAACTTGACACCATGAGGTCACACCACAACTTGACACTATGAGTTCACACCACTACTTGACACCATGAGTTCACACCACTACTTGACACCATGAGTTCACACCACTACTTGACACCATGAGTTCACACCACTACTTGACACCATGAGTTCACACCACTACTTGACACCATGAGTTCACACCACTACTTGACACCATGAGTTCACACCACTACTTGACACCATGAGTTCACACCACAACTTGACACCATGAATTCACACCACAACTTGACACCATGAGTTCACACCACTACTTGACACCATGAGTTCACAACACAACTTGACACCATGAGTTTACAGCACTGGTTGAAGCCCTCACCTTTTTTTCCCCTTGATGATAAATACATTTTGTTATCGTTTGTTTTACAGGGATCATCAACGTGTTTGACAAACTGAAATTGGAGAATTATCTTTCAGAACACGTAAGTTAAATATAAATCTAAGACGTATCTTTCAGAACATGTAAGTTAAATATAAACGTAAGACTTATCTTTCAGAACACGTAAGTTAAATATAAATCTAAGACGTATCTTTCAGAACACGTAAGTTAAATATAAATCTAAGACGTATCTTTCAGAACACGTAAGTTAAATATAAATCTAAGACCTATCTTTCAGAACACGTAAGTTAAATATAAATCTAAGACGTATCTTTCAGAACACGTAGGTTAAATATAAACCTAAGACTTATCTTTCAGAACACGTAAGTTAAATATAAATCTAAGACGTATCTTTCAGAACACGTAAGTTAAATATAAATCTAAGACTTATCTTTCAGAACACGTAAGTTAAATATAAACCTAAGACTTATCTTTCAGAACACGTAAGTTAAATATAAACCTAAGACTTATCTTTCACAACAAGTAAATAAATATTATCCACGAATCATGAATTATCTTCCCCGAAACACATACGTGATTTATAATACCTTGTCTTTCGAATTATCTTCAAAAAGGTAAGTTACATATCAATCGATGACGCATGAGTTCACAAAGAATAGATTTGAAAATGTCAAAGTGTTACACGATTCCCATGTTTAAAGTGATGTAATTTTTAAAAAAGTTGAAGTTAAGATTGTCAATTTAAAAATAATTAAAGTTAAAAGAGACTGAAGGTATTATAACAGTTTCATATGTTCCCATAACGAGGCTTCAATATAGAGTTTTTAAATATACATTTTTTTATTATTATTTTTTTTTTTTTTGCGATATGTTAAAGGCGATGGATGCCAAGATATACTGACTGTGTATTTGTTAACGATAACTGCAATAAACAAAAGATGACGTCATGAAACTGACACCCTCTCCCTTTGCAGAAAAACCTGAGCCTCATCGCCAAATGCCGAGCAAGCGCAAACTGTGAGATTGAGCAGAGGCAAGACAGCAACCAGTCCGTGTTTGAAAGAAACGCCCCTGTCCTCATAATGGTAATCATCATTTGCAGCGTCTGTCTGGTCGTGCTGCTGGTCGTCGCGAGCTACTTCAAGTTCTGCAGGAGAGGAGTCTACGTGGCCCAAGAGGTGGTGAGTAGCATGCTCATATTTTAAGTTCTCTTAAGTAACGCCAAACACATTTTAGGTTTAATGACATGGTGTTGAACTGTAAGAGCGCTTGAGGTGGGGGTGGGGGTGGTATGTACATGACTTGGCTTGTACCCTGTTCTTGCTTTTTTTTTTTTTTCTTCACGAAAATCACAAAGTAGGCTCATTGATGCCTTACATTTAATTATAGAAAACCTTGGTAACAACTTCTTACAGGAACAGCAACATGTGGTTCATCTTCTAAGTATTCAATAATCATTACCCTGCACCTACTGCACAAGAGAATTTCGTGGCAGAATCGGCCTCATTAGCCACTGACAGAACCGGCACAAACTCTGATGATTAAAGTGGTCATGGTCGACTCTCAACTGACGAACATCATTCAATAACAAGGAGCTCTGGGGGGGGGGGGGAATAAATAATTTCCCCAATGATTGACTTTATTGGTTTCACATCAATCCTACTTATGTCTGGATTTCTTCCAACAAACTATAAACAGTGAAACAAAATGAAATACCAATTATCGAATAATTTCAACACACAGAATGCCACGCAACTGTGTCACCTTGACATTTATCATTCACGCCATGTACAAGCTTTGATGAGCTTGTTCCCCAAGTTATAGACATAATTTCCGATGAGGCAGAAAGCTCAATTTTTTTTTTTTTTTTTAGAAAAGTGGTTAGGGAGTGAGGCAAACGGATCGATAACATAACCGAATAAAAATATTCAATTTTCTGCCACTGCCTGAGCATGTTGCTGGCGAAATTTTCTGCCTCTCTTTAGTGACAATGGCTGCGCCCGTTGCAGGCGAAATTTTCTGTTTGAATGTGTTTGAATATTCCGGGCAATGTACTCTTTTACTACAACACAGGGCAGTAGATTTCATTGAATATTATAGAAAATAAGAAGTTAACTTGTTTTTATGTGCAACATTAGGGCCCATATGGTTTTTCTCTCTAAATACTCGGACCCGGTGTAAACAAAATTCTGTACTTAGTTAAGCCCTAATATGTTTATCTATTGATTGTTTGCAGGAAGGGACTAACCTGGCCGACAGACGGCACTACTTCAACGTCAATCCAAGCCCTTTCACAGGCGAGCAGATCATGAAGGATGAGGTCGCCATGGAGAAAGGGGAGAAGCAGGACAAGGTCGAAAAGTCGACCTTCAATGGGAGCGACCCGGTCGGGGGAGACAGCAACACTTGGGTTATACCCCTGGATGACGTCCCTGTCACGTCCCCAGTCATAAGTAATGAGGACACCAAACTCTAGGACTTAACCCCCCACCCCCCCCC